AGAAAACTGAGAAGTTTTGAATGGAAAGAGGACTGAATTGAGACTCTAGAATCCAGAGTATTCATTTTAACTCTGCCGCTGACCTGCTGTGTGACCTGGAGCAAGTCTATACACCTCAGTTTCTTTGTAAAATGGGAGAAAAGTTGCCTACCTTGCAGTGTTACTAATCACATCACATGAGAGAATGAATGCATGCCTGCTTTTATCATATTGTAACTACCAAGCAGTGACTGCAGGTGGTCCACTGAGACTACCTAACAGAAACCTCCCATTCTGGAGAGGATTAAACCAGCTCCAACCCCTGCTAAGTGGTACTCTCTAGGCTTCAGCCCCCAACTGTGCCCAGGACCCATCCTGGAGGGGCAATAAAAGTAACAGGATTGAACACCGGAGTGAAAATGGTACTTGCAAAAAAGCTGTGTGTAGATTCTTGGTTTATGATGGTTCTATTTCCATTTTAGGTAACAGACCACTGGTGCTGAATTTTGGAAGTTGCACCTGACCTTCATTTATTTTCAAATTTGACCAATTCAAGAGACTTGTTGAAGACTTTAGTTCCATAGCAGATTTTCTCATCATCTACATTGAAGAAGCACATGCATCAGGTACAGAAAGAGTCTCTGCCTCTACCTTTTCCTACCCTTTCTTTTCTCTCTCCCCTTCCCCCAAGCCCCATCTCAAGGTTGGGGGTGGAGGAGGAAGAGGAAGAGAGAAAAAGCCACTATTCATCGAGGACCTACCATCTCCCAGTCCCTCTACTAGGTCTATTCACCCTTGCAAACCCCACAGTCTGGGCTTTCAACCAGGTCACACAGAGAGCAGAAAACCTGGCATGATGGGTCTGGCTAGGAGAGAATTCTAATATCCTGAATGAATAAATAGGGAAATCAAGGGAAAGGAACTGATTTGAGCACATTTACAAGGAATTTAGAACTGAAATGTCACAAGTCAAATGACTGTTACATAGCTATTTGTAAGATACCCCTAAAGGGACGTTATGGTTCATCTCAGTCAGTAGTTCCCAAGCTTCAGTGAGCATTAGAAGTATCTGGAAGGCTTGTTAATACACACTGCTGGACTCTACCCCAGAGTTTAATAGATCTGGGACAGGGGCCTGAGAATTTGCTTTTCTCACAAATTCCAGGTGATGAAGATGCTGCTGGTCTGGGGATCACATTTTGAGAACCACCTCCTGGACCAAGTTTTGCCTAGAAGGGGAATCCTTTCTACAGCCCCTCACTGGTGGTCACCTGTCTTTCTTACATCACAGGAAATCTTGACCCTTTGCTGGACAGCTCTGTTCATGAGAAAGTCTTTCTTACAATGGGCAGACATGTGCCTCCCTGAAGTTTTCAAAATGGTCAGACGCATCCCCATCCCTTTGATCTTCATGGGGCTTGAACCAGGTTTCAAACCCAGAGACTGAAGAAGGCAAGAAGACTTGTGTGGACAAGTAGAACAAGTGTCGTTCACTCACCTATCTCCCCACAAGATGGGAGAGATACTGACTATTCATCACTATCACCTAGCACCCAGCACAGACCATGTCACACAGTCAGAGCTCCATAAAAACTGGGTGAATAAGTGTTTAGGCCAATATTAGCCTTGCTGTTTGGTCTGTGTGTTGTAAGTGTAGAGATTACCATTAATTAATATTCAGCCAAGTTGGCCCAGTGATACTTTTCCCAGTGTGGTCCCTAGATCCCCAATGTCAGAACCTGGGTGGCTTTTTGAAAATGCTTATTCCAGTGCCCCATCCTAGGCTGCTTGTATCTTGATTATACACACCCAAAGGTCTGAGAACTACTTTCAACTTAATGCTGTATTCTCTTAACTGGCAGCTTCTGTCCTCATTAAGACTTTGGGGCAATTTAAAATATTAGCGTAGGATAATACATACCTGGAGGTTCATTAATCTATTCTCTCTACTTTTATGTATATTTGAAAATTTCCTTAGTAAAAAAAATAAAAAATCCTAGGGAACAGGAGAGCAAACACAAGCACAGTGTATCTCTTAGTCAATTACCCCTTTGTGAGAGCAGCAGCCATCAGTTAAAGAGACCTTGGGCAGTGACATAGGCCTCTGTGGTCTCCATGGCCGAGAAGAGACAATGCCTTGATGTCATCACAGCTGACAGCTGAAGTTCAGCCAAAGCTGATTTAACTGTCCTGCAGCAGTGCTTCTCAAACTTTAATGTGCACTCAAATCACCCAGGGATCTTATCAAAATGCAAATTCTGGCTCAAGAGGGCTGGGATGGGGCCCAGGTGAGACCAGGATGCTGGTCCAGGAACTATACTTCGAGTAACTAGGTTCTAGAGGATCCGGCTTTAATCTCTTAAAGAAAAAATTACAAACTCTGACAAGAGGGGTTGGATCATCATAGAAATTGTTTCCTGGTCCTGATACCTGTCTCCTGACCCATCTTTCCTGGAATCAGACCAGGCAGGTTTAACCCTTTTTTTTTTTTTTTGTCTTTTTCATGACCGGTAAGGGGATCGCAACCCTTGGCTTGGTGTTGCCCCCACCGTGCTCAGCCAGTGAGCGCACCGGCCATCCCTATATAGGATCCGAACCCGCGGCGGGAGCGTTGCTGCGCTTCCAGCACCGTACTCTCCTGAGTGCACCACAGGGTCAGCCCTTAACCCTTTTTAGAACCCAGAACTGTCTACATCAAGCCACTGAGGAAAGGCTTCCTGCCCCTGTCCTGATGAGACCAGTTTCCATCCTCTGTGATTTGTCACTCCTAATACAGACAGTTCTTCCTCCTCCCCATCTCCTTCCCCAGAGTCTTTGTTTCTATCAATCAGACAGAAGTGGGTATGGCCTGAACCTCAAAAATAAGATGTCCACCAATTGTAGGAAGTCTGAGGTCTGTGGACTAAGTCAGGTGGCTTCCTTTTTCCCACACACCACGCTGGTCTGGGTAAAATATGGGGAGGCACAAGGTGTGGTGGGAAGAACACAGACTTTAGAATTTCAGACCTGGGTGTGAGTCCTAGCTCCATCACGTGCTGGCCACATGACCGTGGTCAACTTACCTTCCATGCCTGTTTCCCACTAAAATGGGATGACAACACCTACCTCACAGAAATCACTCATTCAACAATGTTTAATAAGCACCTGCTATGTACCGAGCCCTGTGCTGAACCTAGGGATATAGAGACTGAAGATATACACAGTTCCTGCCTCTAAGGAACTCACAGTTAAAGTTGGGAAGGCAAATCACTGTTCCTCTGTGGGTCTCCATGTTCTCGGTTGCAAAATGGGGATGAGAATCCCTGCTTGTCCTTCCATAGGAGGTTGCTGTGAAGCTCCCAATGAACTGATGGGTGGACAAGGCTGCCTAAACATGGTACAGATATAAGCTGGTGCTCTCATCAGTAGCACATTTGATGACAAGTGATAGTACTTCAGTCTGTGGCCAGGCACTGGTATGGTTTGAATTTCTCTTGAGGACTGGTTTTATCTGGGGGAAGGTTACTGAGCAAGGAGACTTTGAAGCACTGAGGAGGTGAGCCAACTCCACTGGTAGACTTAGGCAACTTATATCACCCACAGAGGTGACTGTTATTGTAAACGCAGGCAGCAGGGCTTCCAAAGGAACCCATGACCACATTATCTGTGTTCCAAGCTCCCCAGAAATGAGGCAATTAGAAGAACAAGGCCATCAGCAGTTTATGGTTGTATTTTCAACTTGTGGGCCCATTGTTGTGAGTCTCTAGAGGACAGATGGGATGATGGGTTGGAAGGTAGTATGATTAGAAGTCTGGAAGACTGCTTAAGAGGGGATGAGAACAAGGGTCATTGTCAGGCTAGTGGTGGTACTTGGCTATGAGCTCACCAAGTGGCTTATCATAAGGCTGTAAGTAGAGCTTGCACAACATCAGCCACAGGAACGGAAGTCACAGTATCCGAACCAAGGAAAGAGAAGGCCCCATTCTGCTCACTCTTCAGGTAGAGGCAGCTACTGTGATGAAAAGGGTGGAAGTGAAAGACAGCTTGGGGGTGGGTGGGTCAAGGAATCCAAGAATTTCACCCATCTGACTGGAATGAAGAGGTGGAGGCAGGCTGGAGAGATGGGCAGGAGCCAGGTCACTTAGGGACTAGTGGACCACACTGAGGAGTTTGAGACTTATCCTGAAGGTGATAGGGAGCCACAGAAAGATATAAGCAGGAGAGTGACATAGTCAGATTTGCATTTTGGAAAGAACACTATGGTGAGGAAGAATTAGGAGAGGAATTGTCTAGGTGCTAGAGCAGCAGTTCTTAAACTCGGTGTGCATTAGAATCATCTGGAAGAAGCAGTCCCCCATTCTCAGTCAGTCTAGGGTGGGGCCTGAGAATTTGCATTATTAACAAGCTTCCAGGTGATATTTATGCTGCTGTCTAAGTGGACCACACACTTAGACAACAACGGATCTAGACCTTTGCCTTTCAAAGTATGGTCCAGGCACCAGTGGCCTCGGCATTCTGGGAGCTAGTTAGACTCTCAGTGCCACCCTAGACAGACTGAATCAGAATCTTCTTTTAATGAAGCCCCCAAATGATTCATATACACATTAAAGATTGAGGAGTACTGGTTTATTGGACTATCTCACATTAAAGAGTGGCAGCCTGGCAGTCAGGAGCCCTGGGCTTCAGTCTAGATCAATCTCTCACTCCCTATGTGACCTCGCACATTCAACATAATAGGAAACTGGACCAAATCACGGACAAGGTCTTCTCTGTCTGAGATGGACAGTTAAAAGTGGGGGGTAGGGCCGGCCCGTGGCTCACTCGGGAGAGTGTGGTGCTGATAACACCAAGGCCACGGGTTCGGATCCCATATAGGGATGGCCAGTTGCTCACTGGGTGAGCGTGGTGCTGACAACACCCAGTCAAGGGTTAAGATCCCCTTACCGGTCATCTTTAAAAAAAAAAAAAAAGTGGGGGGTATTCAGTCTGCAGGAAGTGTGTGTCATGCCTGTGGGGCCTGGTGCCTGGAATTTCTCTTGTAGATGGCTGGGCTTTTAAGAACAACGTGGACATCAGGAATCACCAGAACCTGCAGGAGCGCCTGCAAGCGGCCCATCTGCTGCTGGCCAGGAACCCCCAGTGCCCTGTGGTGGTGGACACGATGCAGAACCAGAGCAGCCAGCACTACGCAGCACTGCCTGAGAGGCTCTACGTACTCCAGGAGGGCAGGATCCTCTATAAGGTGATGATGACCCAAGGGCAGGGGGTCCAGGGAGAACAAAGGGACCCAGGGAGGGCAAAGGGGCCCAGGGAGGGCAAGTGCAAAGAGAGGGCTTTTTATCAAGCAGAGCTGGATTCAAATCATTGCCCAGCCATTGACCAGCCATGTGACTATAGGTGAGTCCTTTCATCTCTTGGAGCTTCACTTTCCTCTTCTGCTAAATGGGCATGTTGGTCCTCACCTTGCAGAGGATGAAATAATGCATGTGAAAGTCACCTGGACTGGAGCCGCTTCCTCCTGGCTGCTTTCTGAACCTGGATGACTGACCCAGCCCTGGTTTGGTTTTAAGCCAAGAGATAGAGAATGTTGTTTTCATTTTATAAACAATGCTCAGAGAGAGGAATTCACTTGCCCAAGGTTACACTGGGCAAGGCTCTGATTTCAATTCTAAATCCCCTGTACAGAATAGGGCAGGAGTGGGAGGGTCTGAAGCTGCTAATCTCTGAGGCAGGCCTACATCTGGAGGGGATCAACCCTGTAGTTAGGAGCTAGAAAGGCTGAAACAGGGATGCGTGGCAGGAAGTGAGTCCAGGCTTCCTTTCTGGTGATTGTTTCTTCTCAAGGCTCCCAGCCTGGTCAGGGCAAGGGAGGTAACCACAGCCTTTGACCCATTGGACTCTGTTGACTTCCCTTGAAAGGACAGAAACTAAGTTTTATAGCTACTGAGTGCATTTCAAGGCTTGGTAAACAGATGAAACCCAACCATGTGGATGCTCCTCTGCCCACGGGTCAAGTTAGTTCTACTTATGTAAGGATTTAGGTCCCTCTTCCTTTTCCATCCCCTGAGACATGGTTCTAAGATAGCATGACTAAGGCATGCTGGACACTGAGTCTCTGCTCTGAGTTAGATCCTGTGAAAATGCCGGAAACAAAAAAATGAATTGGAAATGGCCCATGCCTTACTTCAAGATGTTCATAGTCCAATGTCTTAAGTGCTGGGGGACTCCAGAGCAATGTAAAGGGCCTGTAAAGGGCCAGATAGTAAATATTTTCCACTTTGTGAGCCAAATAATTCCTGTCACAACAATTCAAGTCCGCTGTTATAGAATAAAAGTGGCCATAGACAATATGCAAATGACAGAGTGTGAGGTATCAAGACTGATTTGGCTCACAGACTGCGAGTTTTCTTTTTCTTTTTTTTTTTTGTCCTTTTTGAGACTGGCCGCACCGCGCTCAGCCAGTGAGCGCTGCGAGCGCACCGGTCATCCCTATAAAGGATCCGAACCCGCGGCGGGAGCGCTGCTGCGCTCCCAGCGCCACACTCTCCCGAGTGAGCCACGGGCTTGGCCCAGACTGCGAGTTTTCTTTTTCTTTTTTTTTTTTTTTCTTTTTTTTTTTTTTTCTTTTTTTTTTTTTTTCTTTTTTTTTTTTGTCCTTTTTGAGACTGGCCGCACCGCGCTCAGCCAGTGAGCGCTGCGAGCGCACCGGTCATCCCTATAAAGGATCCGAACCCGCGGAGCCACGGGCTTGGCCCAGACTGCGAGTTTTCTGACACCCAGGGAAGGGTAGGATTCTCAGAGCAGGTAGCAGTTGCTTCGGCTTTAAAGGATAAGGAGTCAGCCAAGGGAGCATGGTGAGTGAAAAGCACTGCAAATATAGGGAAGAGGGTGGGCAAAGGCACTGAGGCATATGAGGGCAGAGTAGGAATAGAGAATTGGGGGCATTTGGGTTACAGGGATTAGCCTTCATCTTAGGGCAAAGGAGAGCCACTGAAGGGTTTTGAGCAGGGGAAAGGCATGATGAGATCCGTACTTAGAAAGATCACTGGCTACTGGGTGAAGGGACAGGGACTGATGACTGGGGGCAGCTGGGAGGTGTGGCAGCTGCCCAAGTAGTGGGTGAAGAGAGCTGACCTAAGGCAGCGGGATTGGAGAGACAGAGGTGGTTCTGATACAGAATGGGTAGAACTTGAAGTGCAGGCTGGAGAAGAAGATAAGGCCAGTCTGAAGGTCTGATTATGGGAGAAAAGCTTATTTGTGTAGACCCCTTTCTCCTTCTGAAACTCTTTGTTACTTTACCTCCTCTGGTTTTCCTCCTACTTCTCTATCCAGTCTACCTGTTAAATGTTGGTGCCACTCTACTCACTTTCCCTGGGCGATCTCATCCACCTCACGGTTGCATTTGCCATTTACTACATAGATGATTCCCACATAGATATCATTTGCCCAAATGTTGTAACTAAGCTGCAGACCTACATATTCCTTGCAAGTTGGGAATCTGGGAATGCCTGATTCATTTCTCTTGCAGGGTAAATCTGGCCCTTGGAACTACAATCCAGAGGAAGTTCGTGTGCTTCTGGAAAAGCTCCACAGTTAATCTGGACAGATCCTCCAGTTCTAGGTGATCAATAGGAGGGCTCCTCAAGGCTTGGCTCTCCCTCCAACCCAGCTGGCTTCTATCTTTGACCTGTGTTGCCAGATGAATCTTATCTAAGCAAACAACTCCCAGCTAGGGAGTGCAGGTCACAGCATTCAATCAGGACAAGTTGTTATAACCACGAAATGAAGCAACATTTGATCTGTTCAGGCAAGTGAACAGTTAAAGAAAGTATAACTCCACACTTCTCCCACTGTGGAGACCACATTCATTGCACAATGTTTTCAAGTGAAAGAACAGTCGCACTCCACAGCATACTTCTGTGATGTGGTGTCTCTCTACAGTCACTCTGATACCAAGTGGTCCATTAGGGCATCCTTTCTATTAGATAAATTTGCCATTTATGGAATTGATTATTTAAGACACTAAATTGTTTTTTAGAACCAAGCATGGGGGCCGGCCCATGGCTCACTCGGGAGAGTGCGGTGCTGATAACACCAAGGCCCCGGGTTCGGATCCCATATAGGGATGGCCAGTTAGCTCACTGGGTGAGCATGGTGCTGACAACACCAAGTCAAGGGTTAAGATCCCCTTACCGGTCATCTTTTAAAAAAAATAAAAATAAAATAAAAAATAAAAAAATAAAGAACCAAGCATGGGAAGAATTCCAGTTGTAATAGACAGATGAGGAATTGGAAGAGGAGAGAGTAGGAACAGAAGAAGACAGTAATCCTTTCCTTGCCAAAAGATTTAAACTAGTCGATGCTGGTGGTTGTGATGGGTGAGTTTCCATGGTAACACATCTCCAATTCTACCAGTGAAGAGGAGAGTATTTACTTTAACATCTTTGAATACATTTCATAGAAATCTGGCTCTCTGTACCCTGGAATCTTCCACTATCCTCACTTATCAGAGTCATTTGGAGGGAAGGACTGCCTTCCCAAAAGCCTTATATAACCTTTGGTTATAACCTGGACCAAACCAGACACTAGGCACCAGCAAAGCTATCATTCAGTTATGTAGAAGCTCATATTTGAAATGTTTCTCTGATTTCTTCGCAAGTCTCCTCCTAAAGGTCATTTGTGTTAGATTACATCACACTAATGGATAACCATTGGTATTCATCGTGGTTTTAACTCTGCTTCTTTTCATATTTCTTTATGACGGCCACAGCCTAAAGTGTGCACAGCTGTGACTTGATTTGAAAGAAAATGTTTTAAGATGCAGCAAGCTAATACAGAATGATTAAAATATATTAGGCTATTTTGGATGGCTTCAGTCTGATCTTTATATTTTCTTTTCCAACTTGCGTCAGCCTGATCTGTCTTTTATTAGAGCCCAATGTAATCTGATCAGTGAAAATACCACATGCTGGAAGGGCCTCATCTGGTGGGAAGAACACTCAGTCTCTATGCATTACATGTCAAATTTGGTTTTGTCTTCTGAACTCCTGCTGGAGGAGAATAATTTTTCACATTGGACTCAAACTATAACATGACATAAAATAATGGATTTGGGAAACATTCTGCTAACATGAAACATTCTCTTTGGCTCTGCTGTAGTTGCTACAATGCTAATATTATTATTGCTGTCATTTTACTCTTTTAAAAATAGCTATTACTGGGCCGGCCCGGTGGCTCACTGGATAGTGTGCCGCTTGGGAAGCGCGGCGGCGCTCCCGCCCGAGGGTTCGGATCCCACATGCAGACCGGTTCCCGCTCACTGGCTGAGCGAGGCGCGGGAGCAACGCCGAGGGTTGCGATCCCGTTGCCGGTCCCCGGTCCGGTACGGGGGCAACACTGAGGGTTGCGATCCGTTGCCGGACACGGAAAAAGACAAAAGACAAAAAAAAAAAAAAAAAATTAGCTATTATTAATCATCTACCAGGTAAAGGCAAATTCAGATATGCTATCTCATTTAATCTCTCTCTATCCCAAAGAGGAGATTATTATACCCATTTTACAGATGAGGAAATCAAGGCACAGAGAGTTAAGTGACTTTCATAAGTTCTCAGGACTAGTAAGTAACAAGTTGAGATTTAAACCCAATCTCTAACTTCAAGGCCAGAGTCCTGGCTCTGTTCCTGCTGGATGTGTGACTTTGGTTAAGCTGCCTTGGTATCTTCAACTATAAAATGGGATCTCAATAGTGCCTACCCCATAGAGGATTCATGAGCAAAGCACTCAGAACTTTGCCTGGGCTTGAAGAAAATGCCATATAAGTGTCGGCTATTACAATTATCAACTTTATTGTTCCAAAGCTGCCTCCTTGGGTCCCCTTTTGGGGGTTTGAGGGATGGAAAAGAAAGACAGGACAGCAAGGACACTGAATAAAAATTCTCCATCCTGCCAAAGCAACTGACCAATACACACATGAGTTTGTGAGCTTATACTGAGAATGAGTAGCTGGGAGAATGGTAGAACTGAAGCACAGCTGAGCACTGTCCTTCCTAAGTACTAAGCTCCACAAAAGGATACAGCACATAAGGGAATGCTCTTCTGAATCACTTCTCAGAAGGTGCTCCAATTCATGTCTATAAACACATAGCAATGTCCCAGTGTTCAACAAATAATAGTAGCTGGAACTGAGGAATTTTCAGAATGATAAAATATACCCCAGGCTTTCCAACTCAATTCTCTCCAATTTAATGCATCAAATGTTGAGTATTTATTCTTTTCTGGATGCCAAGATGCACAAGGAACAGCTCTTATCTTCCGGCAGCTTAATCTCGTGGAGAACCACACAAACACAACAATGACTATAATTCAAGGTGGAATATATATTAGAGCTGAGGCAAAGACTAATTGCTCAGAGGGCACAGAGGAGAGAGCAATTCCTCTGGGCTGGGTGAATCTGGCAAAACTTTATGGAGCTGGTAGCTTTTGGGCTTAGTCTCCAAGGATGCTCAGTACTTCTACAGTTTGGGATGGGAGCCTGGAGAACATGGGAAAGGAGAAGGGCATTTCACGTGGAGAGAATTACATGGGCAAAGGTGGAAAAAAGAACATGTGTAGGGGACTGAAAGAGGTTTGGGCTCAATTCTAATTCATGATGGAAAGTACCTGGATATCAAGAATGAACCCATTCTGCCTGGCTAACATTGTAAAGTACTGGTAAGTGAAAGAAGCTTATTAATATATCTTGTCCAGATGTGAGTGTAGTTTGTATTCAGAACATTAACTGATTTAAAGGAAGGGTTTCGGGCCGGCCCGTGGCTCACTCGGTAGAGTGCGGTGTTGATAACACCAAGGCCCCGGGTTCGGATCCCATATAGGGATGGCCGGTTGGCTCGCTGGCTGAGCGTGGTGCTGACAACACCAAGTCAAGGGTTAAGATCCCCTTACCGGTCATCTTTTAAAAAAAAAAAAAAAAGGAAGGGTTTCCCTCTAGTTCACATATTCTCTGAGGGTGATGCCCTTTGTAGTACTTGGCATTATGTGAGGACTCTAAGCCTACACCTTATTGTGGCTGGCCCAATTGCCTCTTGTGCCTGGCAAGAGGCCTAGGAAACCAGACCTCTGACTATCAGGAATTGGCAGATACCCCCAGAATGGCCAACAACTTTAATGCTTGTTTACCTCCCAGGAGCAGGTCTCTAAATTTGTTCCTGGCCACAAAGTACTTTCTTTTATTTGATGTAAGTTCAGCCATTAATTTTAAAATGTGCATTAAAATATTTTTATCCAAAATTGTTAGGTGTTTGATTGAGGAAGGATTCCAGGATACTTAATCTGCCAAACAGATTAGATCATTGAAAGTTTCCGGTAGTTTTGTCAAGAGGGGCACATGTATCCTGTACTCCCTGTAGTCTTACATGCTTGTGACTGCCAGTTGTCTTTAAGCCTGAATGATACGTGGCTGGGTTTAAGATTCTTGTGTTTTGGTCTCTACCTCAGAGGTTTGTGGACATTTCTCCACTGTCTTCTAGCAGTAAGGAGAGGAAAAGTCTGAGGTCAGCCTTATTTCTCCTAGCATTTGAATTGCTTTTATTCTGCCTGGAAACCTATCAATTCTTTCTTTATACTTGAAGTGCAGTAACTTTGCCAAGACATATTCCAGTGTTGATTGTTCTGTATCAAAATTTCCTGGAATACTTTTTTTTTTTTTTATAATTAAGCATGCATCTTTTATTTCATACTTCAATTTAACAAAATATAAATCCTGGCTATTTGAATATTTTTATAAGAACTCTCATTTGGGGCCGGTCCGTGGCTCACTCGGTAGAGTGCGGTGCTGATAACACCAAGGCCGCGGGTTCGGATCCTATATAAGGATGGCCGGTTTTCTCACTGGCTGAGCATGGTGCTGACAACACCAGGCCAAGGGTTGAGATCCCCTTACCGGTCATCTTTTAAAAAAAAAAAAAAAAGAACTCTCATTTATTAAGAAATAAGAAATGCATCTGCCTTATTTCTAATAAAAACAAACTCTTCCATGGCAATATTTTTTTCATTAGAATCCTTAAACTAGAAGAAATAGGACCGGACTGTAAAAGCCATGGATTTTTTACTAGTGCATCTTAATGGTCACTTCGAGTCTGAATGAAAATGAATATTCCTTATGGGATAACTCCCAGGATTTATTTTATTTATTTATTTATTTTTTTGTCTTTTTCCGTGTCCGGCAATGGATCGCAACCCTCAGTGTCACGCCCGTACCGGACCGGGACCGGCAACGGGATCGCAACCCTCGGTGTTGCCCCCGCTCCTCGCTCAGCCAGTGAGCAGGAACCGGTCTGTATGTGGGATCCGAACCCTCAGCGGGAGCGCCTCCGCGCTTCCCCAGTGGTGCACTAGCGCAGTGCGCCACCGGGCCGGCCCTCCCAGGATTTATTTATTCATTTATTTATTTTTATTTTGTCAATATACAATGTGGTTGATTATTGTGGTCCATTACCGAAACCTCCCTCCCCCCTCCCTCCCTCTTCCCCCTCCCTCCCAACAATGTCCTTTCTGTTTGCTTGTTGTATCAACTTCAAGAAATTGTAATTGGGCTGGCCCGGTGGCGCACTGCTACAGTGCACCGCTTGGTAACGCGGCGGTGCTCCCGCCAAGGGTTCAGATCCCACATACAGACCGGCCGCTCACTGGCTGAGCGAGGCGCGGGTGCAACACTGAGGGTTGCGATCCCGTTGCCGGTCCCGGTCCGGTACGGGCGCGACACTGAGGGTTGCGATCCGTTGCCGGTCACGGAAAAAAAAGACAAAAAGGAAAAAAAAAAAAAAAAGAAATTGTAATTGTTATGTCTTCTTCCTTCCCTCCCCCTCCCCCCTGGTTTTTTATGTATTTATTTATTTGTAGCTCTCTTTTGATCCTAAGATTTAATTTTCTTTTTAATTTTGGGGACATTTTCTTCTGTTGCCTTGAATATCTTTTCTGTTGCATTTGTCCAATTCTCTTACTTAGGACCTAAAACTGTGGGTATGTTGTATCCCTTTTTCTTTCATAACTATTATCTTCTCTATAACCATTTTTTCAATCTTTATTGTTTTCTATTTCATGTTGTGA